TCGGAGAGCCGGAAGCGCTGCCAGTAGGAATATGTGGAGCTAAGATTCCACCACGAACCCCGAACCTCTTTCGCGAAGGACCCCCAGACCATACTGTGGATACTGGTTTCCAGTGTGATTGACTCAACCTAGACTGCCACCCCAAGACGTACAGCAAATGATAGCGGGGGGGNTGGTATACCACTGCATAACATGTGCCGTCGCTGCCAATTCAGGTCTGTGGCTCTACAATCTCAATTAATATTTTCCCCTGATTTCATTTTCCCTTCTGAAAACGCAGTTTGTTTCAGGTTTCCATAATGTTTGTGAATATATATTTTAATGTGCAATAATAACATATTTGGCATTTAAATCGGTAAAGATTTATATTGTTTAAGGTTACAGAGAAAATAGTGAACCCATTGTACCTGATTCTGCAGTCGTGCAAACATGAAGTATTGGACCGCATGGCACGTTTCCAAATTGCAAGATGTCACTACCAAAGCACACAAGAGCATTTACTCGAGTTAAATTTAGTGCCAGATCGATGTTGCAATTGAAGAAACATTGGCAACATTTTTACCGTTCATTAACGTCTGCTATTCATGCGCTATTTGCACCCAATGCGAAAAATGAACGCAAATGGAGAGGCCATGACCATTGGCCCGCAAAGCAGAAGTCTGCATGGCCCAAAGTAGAGCTTTTTACTCCCTGAGCCGGGACAGAGGATTATTTTCAATATGCCAGATCAAAACCTCATTTTTACACGTCAATTTTATTCAAATACGTATGCTTCAAACAAAACGCACAAAATCTCTCATTAAGCAACACCTCAGTGACCACCGACTTATTCTTAATTCATCTAACGGCTCTGTATGAACTTCTAAGATTAATCTCACGTATGCGGAAAGTTCGAGTGACTTCGAATGACGAACTCATAAGTTCATATCCCGATTAAATATTCTAGGATCCCAGCTGGCATAATCGTCTGTGGGATTTCGTACTGCAATCTCAGAATACGAGCTGGATCCAACATTAGCGAGCTGACCAGTTCGAATACCATCCAACAGAGTCGTATGCGGGAAGTTATTAATGTCACGCAAATTTAGTGTAGTTCCACAGGAAGTTTCCTTCTGTCAGTTTTACTGCACTTTCAGCGTATTTTATTTCTGCCGTAACATATTCGCCAATTGATATTTTTTCTTTGAAACTTTTGAATCACGAAGATCAGGACAGCGGGGTCTGTCTGCAGACTAGCTGCAATTCTCAGTATAACTGCCTTGATGCAGCAATACATGAATAGCTTCCCCTGGTCCTTTGCCAATCAGAAGGTGTTCCTGCGCGAATAGCATTATTTAGTTTTATGTCACTGTACTATATGCTTTTGTCACATGTAATAGTCGTTGGATCTAAATATAGAAGTTGCTTTCCTTTAATTTGATATATTTACTTATTTATCTTTTTACTTTGAAGCGCGATTTTTATGAATATTAATCAATTATTGCTTTCCTACCTCGTAAGAAATAAATTGCGTCTACTTTACAAAGGCCAACCAGAAATATTGTTTAGGGATATAATCAACGAATGTTCTGAGAATCGTCCACTGTGAGGGCAGAATGCAAAGTTTTTAATGCTAAAGCAGATGTTAAATATAGAAACAACTAAGCGGTCGACAACCTTTTGGCACTGACGGACCGCGTCCGGCTTCCACATTCATAAAGCGTGATGCACGACTAGCAGATAAAAAATAAATATAAATGGATCATAGGTGTATGGATATATTTATAGTATATATGGTTTTTACAGTTTATTCGGTGTCTTCATAGTTTTACGCTTATTTCATCTGCGCCTAGAATATTGATAACCGCAGCACTTTCCGGAACAAAACAGAAAAAGGACTCTAAAAGTAGGTAAAACCCCGTAGGCAAGCCTCAGAAAAAGGACATGTGGGCCGCCGATTGCCTATCCTTGCTTTTAAGGATCAGTGTGATCGAAATTTATGACGAGGGTAATTTTGTTTCCTCCCGCTCTAATGTGGACCTTTCGAAAGTAATTTCAAGCTAGGCTGATTGAAAATTGATTGACTGGACAAGTCCTTTTGTTTAGCTAATTGTTTAAGTTTGTAACTTGTCTAATTCATTCTTGAAAACAATTATTGTACTGAGGAAGGATATTACATATAGCAAAGCATGATGAGCTCACGTTATACTGTTTAATGATAGATGCAGTGTTCTGAAAACTACGTTTTTAACTGTCTCTCTCCTTCCAATGCCGATGCATTTCAAGCGAAGTATTCAAAGTACTACTGCTAATTCTGTCACATCCTGCAGGAAGCCGTCCTTAAGAAAGACGTCTTTTTTTGGCCAAAAATGAAAAAATGATCAACTCAACAAGGCTCGACATTATACATACATATAATGTATATGTATGAATACGTACATATACGACTATATGCATGCAAGCACGCACACACACACACACACACACACACACACATGCAAACTGCTAGACTAACATCATATCAACCAAGCCGAACCAGAATACAGAGTAATTCGTAAGTCCCTCCGGAATTTCCGAATTCGGCAGCGTAGTAACCAAGGCAGAAACAGCAGAAAGGCACATATCAGTAGGTAATGAATCTCTCCAAGTGGTAGTAGGCACTATGTCGTACTTGCAGGTTTAACCGCTACAGGGCAGTCGTGATGAAACTTGGGGAGGACATGGGATAAGAAAGCGTTCTGTCTTGGAATTTGCCAAAACCGGGTCAATTGTGACGGTGCAACACAGGTTCCGGAGCAAGTACCACGCAGAACCACCTGCCGACAAAATAATACGTGAGTGGTACAAGAAATTCCAGCAGAGTGGCGGCAGCCCGTGCGCTGCAAAATGAGCAGTCCGGCAGAGTCCATCGGCCGAGGCTGTCGAGCGTATGCGAGAAAATTTCTCAGGAGCCCTCGGAAGTCAAAATGTCGCGCGAGCCGGGAATTGCAAATGCCTCAAAAAGTGTCTGTCACATTCTGCGCAAACGTCGTCGCGCGAAAGGATACCGGCTGCAGCTCTTGCAGGAGCTGAATTGCTAGGACTACACTCTTCGTTTCCAGTTCTGTTACAACCGCCATACAGTTCCGATTTGTCCCCAAGTGATTTCTACCTGTTCGGAAGGCTCAAATCTGACTTGCAAGGCATGCGGTTTGTAGACAACGACGCCGTCATCCAGACTGTTCGGGAGTGGATACGCCGCCAACCACAAGCCTTTTTTGAAAAGGGCATCAGGATGCTTCCAGAACGTTGGAAAAAATGTGTTGACTCCGGAAGGGAGTACGTTGAAGACTGACATGTGCCAGTAAGTGTTTGGCAATTATGGTTTTTAAAAAAAATCAGTCCCGGTCACATTTGAATCACCTTGTACCATAGCGGCTGGAGGAAGACTGGTTTGTTGAGAAGCTGGTTTTCAGTGACAGGCGATGTTTCATGTGTGTGTGGTAAGGTGAACGTCACAACGCACGCATTTGAGACACGGAAAATCCTCGTGCAACGGTGGAACACGTCCGTGGTTCGCCTAAAGTAAATAAGTTCTTTTTTGCCGTCCTCGCCATGTTTCGTCATAACTGCCCCTGGCAGTGAAGTCTGCAGGTACGCCATGGCGCCTGTTACCAAAACTATTCATTGATATGTTTTCTGCTGTGTCTGGCTTGGTTGTCGCGCAGCAGAGTTCGGGTTTTCTGGAGGGACTTATAAATTACTCTGTATTACCCGGCTCTGAAGGAACTCGTGCACACGCTAATCCCAAATTACTTCATGGATTTCAACCAATTCTGGCATAGGAATTATGTACGAAAAGTTCTTGGATAACAGAGTTCTGGTCCCTATCTGTCCCGTGGAACCCTTATCTTAAGGGAAACATTTCTCAAATATGTCGTGTAAGCTAATGAGTACTTAACGAAATAGTCTATTTCAGATATTTTCGAATGAAATTCTGTGACCGTACGAAGTAATATCTCCACACTGGTTAGTCTGTGATTTGACAAATCTGTAGCATCTGAAAGGAATATTTAGCGTCGATTAAAATGAGCAGCAACATCTACATCGTGATGTGGGAGGCAACGTTGGTAGTCTACCACAAAGTAATGTGAATATCCCTGTGAATGACTTTGTGACATCACACACTACGGCAATCAGCATAGCCAGTGCATCCCAGGCACAAAAGCGTTGGCCCAACTTGCCCTAATTTCTGTACTATTGCTTTCTTCAACATTGGGATTTATTATATTCTGTTAGGATCATTGTTATTGATCACAAATGAACACAATGAATTTGTATCCGCTACAAATTAACATGAAGACCCATGTACTCAAAATCGCATAGAACACAACAGGACTCTGTGACCTCCCATATGGAGTTCTCAGTTTAGTTCATGTGCAAGTGAACGACGTTCCTGATACAAGAGCACTTTCTTTGCTGAAAGTTATATGGGGTTTGAAGTGTTCACGACGGACAGCATTAAGTTGCTGTCTTCTGGGGTGGGGTGCTATGTAGTTTACTACACAATGCCACATCCCAGAAGACAGTAATCTATGTTAGTTACAGATACTTTGCCTAAATTCTGTGAAAGATCTTACTTAAAAAAAACGCGGTCCGTAGTTGTTCTGCGAAGTTTGAGGATATTTGTAACGAGGTTATTACATGGTAATTTCAAATAACGGCATATTTTTATAAATTAAAACCCGGATACAATAGTCGTTTTCGGAGTGATGAGTTCGGTGCCCAGAATTACGCATTAGGAAGGTGAATATTTTTGTGTAGGTTATACAAAATTCTGTGTAACATAAAAAAAAAAACTACTTTAAATTTAATTTGCATTCAGTGTGCTTTTGGTACAATACACATATATAGCTCTTCATACCATTTGTCTCGCTCTTTACTGTATATCCCCTCTTTCTGCCAACGACGTAATTGTTCTTGCGCGTTATGGTTATTCTCGTGTAGCGTATATTCAAGGTCAATCTGTTGGCACGCCTGGGTTGCGCACTGGTGAAAGCATATGTATAGTTATCGGCGAAGATAACGCGTAAAATGCAGAGGTAGAGGGAAAGGCTTTTGGCGATTTTTCGTGTACACACTACAACATACTTATCGTATAAATAATAAATATAGTGACTGGATCGTTAAGGGCATTTAACATACGTGTGAAAATAATGGCCATGGCTGGACGAGTGATAGATTGGTTTTCGCGAGTTTTGCATTGGAAGTTCAGAGGAAATGAACCAGCTGTGCACATTGTAACTGAAGAAGAACATATTACTCGAGCGTTGGGACGATTTGAACCCTACGTTATAAAATTACAAAGAGTGTTAATATGGGAAAGCCCACTCATTAGTGTACTTTGTATCTTAGTCGTCAATCTTTTCTTCTGGGAAGTACTATTTCGGAATAATTTGGTTATTACTTTGACGTTTTGTTTCGGCGAGATCGAGTGTGTATGTTTTTATTTTTAGGTTAGCAGTTAACTTCGAGTGCCGCTTCTATGGCTTTGTGTTCTGGACGATTCTCATTGGATTTTTGTACGATATGTGGATAGAGCGAATTTGGCCAGAAATTTCAATGCCAGTAGCAGAAAGAAGCCAAAGCACAGGCGACTGGATATCTGTTCATCCTAGGTAACATTTTTAAATGTTTGCATGTTATTTCATATATTGTAATACACGTGTAACATTCTGTTAAATAGTTCTTCCCCTAAACGTTCACATATTGGCTTTGTTTGTATGGTAGTATGCATGCACAAAAGGATGCATAAGTTGTCCTTATGTTTGATGAGAAACATGTCCAATAGAAAATAATTTCATATCATAGTTGCTTGCAACTCATTGATGCACCCATACTGACTGTGGAAATGAATGATATACAAGTACGGTCTACGAGCAGGAAAGTTTCCTCTCCTCTCTTTTTTTATGTTAGTTTGACAGTGCGGGGATTCTGACACTTTGTGATATTTTCATCCTGTGCCCCCAACCATAATTAAAGCTGTTGAGGAATAAGAAAAGCCTAGCACATTTAACCCTGTTGGTCTGTTAACATACTTGTAAAAGAAACACTTATCATAAATTTTAAGCTGAAAATAGTTGTCCGTGAGAAATAGCATGCCCAGCACAGCATAGTTTTTAAACCTTAGTTTTGTCTTCAAGATAACCATTGTCATTTACCGTTCTGCATTTATTTGCGAATAGTAGTTGATCTTATTACAGTAATTCTAGAGAATGCCATTTCACCCAAATAGGTGGGTACAAAGGAATAAGTATTTTTATAACTTTCTCATGTAAGTCTTTGTACTCAGCTTCCACATCAATAAGAAATTGAAGAAGAGGCATTCAGAAATTTTACTTTAAAGAAGTCTCAGTAGAGAGGTCTTTTAATTGCTCCTGTACACTAATACTGAGGATCCTTTTAGTTGCAGTTGAAACATTCCCTAGTCCAATTATAATTTACCATTTATAGACCAGAAAAGTTATTCCCAGATTAGGGTTTCAATGAAGAAATGTGGCTGAGGATATAAATTATCATATCTCAACTAATTAGAGTGAATTGTTGAAAAATTACTGTAAACTAGGAAACATTTTCACAGTTTCACATTTCATTTTCCTCTGCCACAATTAAAATTGTTTTAAATAAATTATTTTACTTTGTTACTGAGCAGAATAATATTACTGCCATGCAGTCAAGTATTAATAGGTCCGGCATCTCAAGTATATGATTTACATATGCCATCTTCATGATGATATCACTGACATTGAACTTCTAAGCAATGCTGTGGTTTACCTATTTGTAAGTAATGATAAAGAAAGTTCATCTCTCAGTTCAAACTCTTGTTTTAAACATTCCACAGAGACCACAATCTTGATTCACAATAGAAGAGTCTCATAACCTAGCAGACATCTGTGTCTTTAAATATTCTAGTTTGATGCAGTTAACATGTAATATATCTACACTGTCTTAGAACACCTAAATTAAATCATACTGACTTTCCGAAACTGTGGATGGATACAACTTTATTTTAAATAATTCTTGAGATGTGGGCACACCCCTCCCCCTTGGAGTAGGTCACGACCCACATTTTGAGACACCATGTCATAGTGCGTTTAAAGTTTCTGCGTCAAATCATAGATATCTATTGTCACTTGAGAAATGATAGTACGATCATGAGAGCTGAAAAGAATTTGAAAGAACGTGGTCATGGCCTGTTTTGAGAGGGTTCACTTTTCTGACATATCATCTATATTAAAGTAAGATGTTAGTTACTGTGTGAAATGTTTTAAATATTTGGGTAGCTTGTTAACAGATAATGTAAGGTGTACTACAGTCCATTCGCGGAGACGAGACAGCGTAAAGAAAGCAAGCCCCGCGTCGCCACAGCTGACAGCAAGGAGTGGACAAAGCGCGCAGTTACTCAGTGTACTGACTGCATTCGGACGCACGTTAACCTGCATTCAGACTGAAGAGTGAACTTTGGATGCCCCTGCAATGGTACACCCATCATGTGATCGCTGCATGATTTCATTCAAAGAGCGAAGGATATACTGCGTGGATTTGTTTACAAGGACTCTCTCATCTCCGCGAATGGACTATACTGAAATTAAATCCAGGATTGCCATGGCAAAAGCTGCATTTAGCAAGGAGAAGAATCTTTTTACCAGCAAATTGGACTTAAATTTGAGGAAGAAACTAGTGAAATGCTACATTTGGAGCATAGCTCTGTATGGGGCTGAAACATGGACACTTAGGGCAGTAGATCAGAAACATCTGGAAAGTTTCGAAATGTGGTGTTGGAGAAGGATGGAGAAGATCAGTTGGACCGATTATGTAAGAAATGAAGAAGTGTTAATTAGAGTCAGTGAGCAGAGGAATATCCTACACGAAATAAGAAAACGGAAGGCTAATTGGATTGGTCATGTTTTACGCAGAAACTGCCTTCTAAAAGAAGTTATCGAAGTAAAGATAGAGGAGCGGATAGAAGTGACAAGAAGACGGGGAAGAAGACGTAAGAAGATGCTGGATGACCTTGGGGACAGAAGAGGATACTGTCATTTGAAGGAGAAAGCTCTAGATGGCATTAAGTGGAGGAATTGTTTTGGAAGAGACTGTGGACCTGTCGTCTTGACAGATTACTGATGATGATGATGTTAGTTACTATCTAAGTATATCTATTTTGTTTCTGTATGTAGGTGGGAAGCCAGGATATCTCAGTTGGTATAGTGTTGGGCTACATGGGCTGGATGGCTGAGGTTTAATTCCCAGTAGGGCAAGAAATTTTGGGGAGTACCAGCATCCAGACTGGCTCTGGGGCCACCCAGCCTCCTACCCAGTGGGTACCAGGGGCTCTTTCCAAGGGAGTAAGTTGGCCATTACCTGAAGCTGACCACTCACCTCAATTTGGTGGCAAGGTCAAGAATGGTGGCGTTACACTTCTATCCTCCCATGTGTGTTTATCGTGTGGTGATTAATTAATTCCATAACTAACAAAGAGACAACTTTACATTTACTTACAAAATCATCTTCAAGGGTTGTACTGTATTAAAGGAAATTTTGCAAATCATATGTATAAAAATAAACAATTTAAAATATCTGAATCGTAAATTTCTTATACGAAGTTAAACTAGTATTTTTTTTTTTAATTCATTGATGTAGCCTATAGTTAGTGCAGTTGTATTGGATTTGGCATGTTGTACCTTGTTGTATGCTGCTTCTCGTACTCATTTTAATGTGTTTGTAAATATAACATATTGTATCAGTTATGAAGTGTTTATTAATTTATGATCAAATATGTAAGTATTATTTCTTATTAGTAAAATATAATCTAACTTACCTAAATGTTTACAGTTTTTTCTTTTTAACTTTCTTCCAATTGAGCACACTATTGTACAGTGAATTTTTGATAAAAGCATGTAATATTCTTCTGGCAGTCAAGACATTATTATTAATGTTTCATAATCTGTAGGTTCCAGGTTCAAACCTCAGGCCAGAGACCAATGATCTTGACTGATGTTTTTTGTAGTTTTCCTCAGTCCTTTCAGCAAATACCAGGAACGTACCTCAAATATGGTAATGATTGCTTCCTTCCACATCCTTTAAAATTCATTATTTGCTGGTTATGCTGCCATTCAGATGTATATAATTCGAGCTGTTGTAAGCACTAAGAAGTAAACTGAGACTAAATAAAGAGTTAAATGAACCTGTTTCATGAAACTTTCCCACCATTTTGGTTTTAGTTTTGTATGACACTCAAGTTCGTATGTTGACCAAAGTTTTGTGAAAGTAGGCGCATCACAATATGGATACGAGATTTGGTACTTGGAATGGTAGAGGTATGTATAGGGCAGGTTTGCTCAGGACAGTGGCAGAAGAAATCTCAAAATATAAGTTAGATTTAGTGGAGTACAGGAGGTCAGATGAGGCGGAGGCGGCCCCAAACCAGCAGGCCAATATACATTGTTCTATGGAAAGGGGAATGAAAATCATGAATTAGGTACAGGGTTTTTCATACATAAGAGAATTGTATCAGCAGTTAACTCATTGCAGACGGGCGATTTAAATATTTAAATCACCCTGGGGACCGGCATTTTTAAACATACTACCCTAACTTGTGCACTGTTCACTTTAAAAATTAATATAAAATCTCCTAATTAATTTTTTGAACTAAAATTTTTGGAGAACACTTACCAATGCTCCTAGAAGTGCTTGAGGATGTGATATTTCTGGAAACTGTCCCCTTTGTGAAGTGGCATTACACAGAACTTGCGAATGTAGACATACTCCTTTTTTTGTGAACTGTGCAAACATGGCATTGCCTAGAAGTATTCTTCCCCTTGGAATGTTCACTCTTCACAATTTTTACGAGGGTATTTTTCCGCATGTCACTCAAGAGTCACCCTGGGGGGTCCACATGAGGCCTTCGTGGGGTGGGAGTTGATGGGCCCGGTCGTACTAAGTCTTTGTGTGATCCTGGTTCTGCCGCCACCATCTGGACTGTAGCCCAGACCTTTGCCACATTCATCAGAAATGCTTTATATTTCAATATTGAATCAGGGTTTAGATTTTTTTTAGATTTTTTTTGCTGTCCCCGCAATGTTACTACATGCAATGTTATTACCTGCATTATTGTCGGAGCTACTGTCACTTTTACTGTCTGTGGCCACAATTCTTTGTTGTCCCCCATCACTGTCGCTGTCTGAATGACAATCCATTACTGTGCATCTCACAAGGCAGGTCAGCTAGGTCATTGGAGGAGAATTTTTCCTTGATCCATTCTCCCCACTAGCTACTGGCTGATACACGCAGCTTGAAGAAGGCAAAGCATTTTCCTTTATAGTCAGTTAAGTAAACAGCGAGATCAAGTTACTGACTGCTAACTAAACGTTGCAGAGTCTTATCATGCATTTGCAGGCAGTTGCGTGCAATGTAGGTGGCGCCAGAGCGATGTATAGTGTGCTGCAACTTATTGTGTTCTAAAAACCTGTTAACACGCGAATGGTCCGCCATGTTTAAAAGCAAAAAACATTTTAAAGGGTGCGCGGTCCGCAAAGTGTTAAGAGGGTAGAGTTCATTAGTGATAGGATATATATATTACTAAAGGTTGCTGGTGTGATATCATTGTTATGAATGTTCACACACAAACAGAAGATAAAATTGATGATACAGAGGACAGGTTCTATGAAGAACTAGAATATGTATTTGATAAAATTCCGAAGTACCATAGGATAATTTTGTTAGGAGTAGGGAGGGAAAACATTTTCAAACCAGCAATTGAGAATGAGAGTTTGCATGAAATTAGTAATGATAATGGAGTTTGAATAGTGAACTTTGTCACATTGAAAAATCTTGCTGTCAGAAGTACGTTCCCACATCATAACATCCATAAATTCAGTTGGACATCTCCTGATGGGAAGATGCACAATCAGATTCACCATATTTTGATAGATAGGAGACGGCATTCAAGTATAATTGATGTCCGATCATTCAGGCAGCAGGTTGTGATACTGACCACTTCCTGGTGGCAGCAGAGGTTAAAGAAAGACTGGCATTGAGCAAACACACAACACACACAATTCATATGGAGAGGATCAGTCTCAAGAAATTAAATGAGGTAGAGGGTAAAGAGCAGTATTGTGTTGAAATCTCAAATAGGTTCACAGCTTTGGAAAACTTGGACACTGAGGTGGATCACACAGAATTACTGGGTTTTTGGACTTTTTCCATTGTCCGGAATTCTGAGGACACAAAGTTGCATAAACCGGATCTGTTTCTATCTTCAGGTGAGAAAGGAGGACACCTACTCAGTTGGGCCCCCTAGAAAGAACTGATCTCAATCACTTAAATACTTAGGGAGTAAAATCTAGAATTAAAAATTAAAATTGAAATTGTATAGAAATGAGATATTTGTAATAAATCTGTTTAAAACTTTGTGACCCCTACATGTTGATATGCTTTTCCAGTGGTAGAAGCAATTATAGTGTGGGACGCCTGGGTATCGGGATCTTCTCTCATAAATTAGGTTGTGTGGTTTTGACCTTGCTGTCATCTTGTGGAGCCTGCACCCATCATTCTTTGTATCACCCAACAGGTTGTTTAGTTGGAGTGATGTATACCAGGTTTTTGTGATGTTATGTGTACAGGCCATTCCCTGTGATGGTGATGTCGCTATGATGTAGCTGTAGCATACAAAAACTTATTCCCTGATATGACAAATGCCTCCATTGTGGTGATGACTACACTGAGAAGTAGCTTAAGTATGTATGTATTTTTTATATATAATGAAATTGGCTTTTCTCACTGTTTGTTTTGTTAACAGCTCACCAGACTTTACTTTCCGAATAGTCCTCATACATTTTGTAACTACAAGAACTTTTTCCTTTTTCCTGTAGTTTGTTAGAAACTGTCTAATGTGGGATGAGTGTGATATCCAGGTGTGAGAAGTATGATGTGCTGCACTGAGTATCACACCTGTTTCATGTTTGTGAGATCCAAGGTTCTCATCTCGCTCAGGGACCAGCTATCCTGACAGGTTTTTTTGTGGTTTTCACAAGTGACTTCAGGCACATGCTGGTGTAGTGCCTAAATTATGTTGTGACTGCTTCCTTCCATATTTCTTTGATTCATTATTCATGACCATACTATCATTGAATCCTGTGTAATCTGAGGTGGTCAAAATGTCATTAAATGAACTGCAGTGGAACCTCGCTTAACAAGCAGAATTCGTTCCAGAATCTTACTTGTTAAGCGAAACAATTTTTCCCATATAAATTAATGTAAAATACAATAATGCGTTCCATGCCAAAAAAAAAATACTCAAAAAATCTTATGTATAACGTTTATTCAAAGAAAATTATATATACATTGTTAAGGATAGTGAATCATCTTCATCTTTTCTTCTATGCGGAATGAACCAACCTGGAATGCGAATTCAATTTGCAGAAAACAAAAAAAAATTGATATAATTAGTTTATTATTAATGATACATATCTAATTCTTTTTTACTAGAAAGCTGTCTAGAGACATTTGTTTTTGCCGATGCTTCAAAATTTGGTGAAAATGCGACACAGCATTATCATTAAATAAATTTGTAGCACGCATAGCCACTGCCTTATTAGGGTGATGCTTCTCAATGTACGATGCAACAGTTTCCCATGCTTTCAGCATTTCTCTTATTGCGCCAGAAGATTGTTGCTTTGCTGTTACCTCCTCCTTCTCCTCTGACAATCTCTCCTCCACACCTTCTTGCTGTGAAACACAATGCAACTCCAAATTGTGCAAATCGTTGATGTGGACTGATTGTATGTGCGTGCTAGATCAGCCACGCTCACACCTCCTTCTCGCTTTTCAGTGATTTTACGTTTCATTTCTATGGTTATATTTATTTTCTTATGGCTGTCTTTTTGCGGCTTTTTCTTCAGGGACATTTTTGCAAGGGTTATTAAACTTTGCACAAAAAAAATCACAAATAATGTGGCTGAACACAAGTTTGGAAAAATGTGTGATCACAAGTGGCACTAAGATGCTAGAGGAACGAGTGCTAAACACAGATGATGTAGCAAGCGCACAATCTGGGAGTTACCCTCTCGTCACTCCTTATGCAAAATGTTGCTAGTTAAGCATGTCATTTTTTTACAATTTGTTTTGCTCTTTATGCGAATTACTCGTTATGAGAGGTGCTCATTAAGTGAGGTTCACTGTATATAATATATGTGTGGTAGGAAGTTTGTTTTGTAAGTACGAAAATTTGTGGCTTTATTAATGTGTGTGTGTAACACTTTTTCAGTGTTTTAAGCGTACCTGAAATCAGTCATTACCTTAGTGAAATTCACATGCTGTTGAAAGATTATTATATCTGGATGAAAACTCTTAGAGGTGAACAACCTGGTGTGGTAAGTAAAATTTACAGTTAATTTGAAATTCATTTGTTTTCTATAAATCACATTTTTTGCTATAAGACAAATGGTATGCATGTTGTAGATACATTAACTGAAACTGCCTTTTGATTAAAGATCAAAATGAGTTTGTTTTTCTGCATTTTTAAATTTGTGCTAATGGACCTCTCCTCATGTCCCTAGTGAGTTTAGAAGTATTCACTGCTGTGTGACCCACAGAGTATACGAAAGGGGACCCAAAAATAACCGGAACCGACCTGTTGCGCGCGCATGCTTTGTAGTTACGAGTTGTGCTGCTAGGTGGTGTTAGCTGGGGGTCTCCTGCGACTGTTAGTGAGCTGGCATCAGTCTGAGTTAAGTGGTTTGTCTGTGGTGCTCTGTTGTGTGCGTTCCTGTTTCAACCCTTTGGCGATTAGTGAGATGGCCGACCAGAAGGAACAAAGAGTGTGCGTGAAATTTTGCTTTCTGTTAGGGAAAACTGCAGCCGAGACTGTTGGGATGCTTCGGCAAGCCTTTAATGATGATGCTTTGGGGAAATCACAGGTCTACGAGTGGTTTTCCCGTTTCAAATCTGGCAACATGTCAACAGAAGACATGCCACGCCCCGGGCGTCCTTCGACAGGAAGAAATGACGAAAACATTGCCAAAATCAAACGTGAAATTGATGAAGATCGTCGAAAGACCATTGACCAACTTTCTGAGGAAACGAACATCTCATGGAGCACGGTCCAGCGAATTTTAACCGAAGGTTTGCACATGAGACGGGTGTCTGCAAAATTTGTTCCTCGCTTGCTCGGAGATGACCAAAGAGAAAACCGCGTGAATGTTTGCCGCGACTTGAAGAGTGAAGTGCAGTTTTCCCTAACAGAAAGCAAAATTTCACGCACACTCTTTGTTCCTTCTGGTCGGCCATCTCACTAATCGCCAAAGGGTTGAAACAGGAACGCACACAACAGAGCACCACAGCAAACCACTTAACTCAGACTGACGCCAGCTTACTAACGGTCGCGGGAGACCCCCAGCTAACACCACCTAGCAGCACAACTCGTAACTACAAAGCATGCGCGCGCAACAGGTCGGTTCCGGTTATTTTTGGGTCCCCCCTTGTATGTTGGACTTAATGAGATGTGTATGATAATGATGAAAAATATATTTGAATAATAAATAATTTAAATAAGAAAACTCTTCACCAGTCACACTAGATGGAACTGTTTAAGTTTTCATGAAAAATATACTTCCTTACTCTTGTCTTCTAATGTCATGGGACTGCGAACCAAGGATTCTTCATATTGGAATGTCTGGAATTGATTAATGATTTACAAAGAAACTGGGTATATTGACCACCAAGTTATAACCCTATACAACTAACCTGTCTTCAATTTTCAGTTCTGCTGTGGCATGAGTTGCTGTTTTTTTGGCCTCACTCTTATCGGTCGTGCAGTACCAGGCTCTGTCATAGCTTACGTTCTTGTAATGCTGTTTATGATAGGACCAGGAATCTGTATACATTTGTTGCCTCCATCTGTTATTGAAAAACTGAAAGGCATTAGAACTCTTTTCAGAACAAAAGGCAAAGGTAAGCAAAGGTACTGTATAACTTAAAAAGTAATTTAACTTGAAACATATCATGCTTTTGCTGTTCCATGAAACTGGAGAAACCTGAGTTGTCTTATATGCTGTATATTTTGCAGCCTTGGGTTACCTGTGATGAAAGAAAGAAATTATGAATAATAATTGTAATACTTAATGAGGAAATGATTGTGCAGATACAGACAGTGAAGTGGAGGAATACCTTCCAGAGCAAACAGGAGAAAATCTCACCTTGTTGCAGCTGGCTGGAGACCCTGTTGATTTTGACAAAGATGAGGACCAGGAACCTTCTCTAAATGGCACTGAGGATTTTGCCCTTGATACAGAGACTGGAGGTGAATTCCACTTTGAATTGCATGCTTACACATAAATGTGTTTTTGAGATTTAGCATTCCATTCAGCATGTCTGAAGTAAGCATTGTGGTTATGAAAACTTTGATAATGCAGATAATACTAGGCTGTAGAGACTTAGTAACCAGTTTATACGCAGGGAACACCATCCTGAAATAGAGAAATAAGTTGATGAAATAATGGTTTTTCAAGAAATATTCATAAAACTGATTGTGAACATAGAATACATAGCAAAGGAAGTATGACGGTGGTTCAGGATTAGCCTGAACTTTATATTTTCCCTGAAGACGGAGGCATGAAGAAAATAAAACTCTTTTATTGATAGTTGGTGGCAGTACTGCACTCGTTGCCTGGCAAGTGGTCCTGCAGCCTGTTTCTGAGCATTTGAATTCATACAGGATGGTGCGAGACCTTGTCACTCCCAGTGTGGAACAGTGCTGTTTCATCAGTTTCCTAGCAAGAAAGAAATGAAACCAGCAGAAATTCTTCAAAGGTTAAATGCACAGAATGGGGGTAGGACCTTGTTCAGTTTTCCGAAGACCACAAAGAAGCATGCTCATGCTCAGCCAAAAGTTGTATTCATTGTGAACAGTCACTGAGTTAGAGAGCTGATTTTGGGAAACAGGTGGATTACAGTATATGATAATCCAACAGTGGCTTAAGAGTTGGAAGAGTTGAAACAGTTATCCATGAACACTCTTTCAAGAAAGTGTGTGGCGTGTGGGTCTCTAAGATAGTGTTCAACCAGAAGGCACAGTGTAATCCCGTGTTTGCCAAACATCTGTCCCAGTTTGAATTGGACGAGAGCTATTCCTGGAGTGGGTGCAGTCCTACACTCCAGAGTTAAAGCAGGCTAGCATGGAATGGTGTCAGTCACCAGCTGACAAATTTAAGACACAACTGTCAGCAGGTTGATGATTGGAAGTTTTGTTTTTGGATACAGAAGGAGTGATCTTCTGCATGCATGCATAATTAATGTACAGTATTACAGGAACTTGTGTCTCAGTGATGTGCACCAAGAAGTTTGGAAGAAAAACGTGTTAATCTGTTAGAGATCAGTGTATGGCAGTTTTGAAGAAGGCAGCAGTGCAACATTGGACAGGAAAATCATGAACTGCCCACCTTACAGCCCTGACTTAGTCCCAGTCATTTTCATTTGTTTGGATCATTGAAGGTGCATCCCCCCCCCAGCACTGCAGCCCCAGTGGGCCTAGGTGTACCTCCATGAACTTCTCTGTTCACTTCGGTTTTTCTAGATCTTACACATTCGGTAGGACTCCTTGGGCGGGTGATCAGCTCGTCACAAGGCCTCTACCTGTACACAAACACAGAAAAACACACACACACACAAACTAAACATCCAGAAGGTGCACATAGAAGGACATAAATTTCAAATTGAAGATGAACTTAAATGCAGTGTCCTGAACTGGCTACACAAACAAGATAAAACTTCTTATGCTGTTGGCATCAGTAACTTGCCAGAACAATGGAGAAAAAATGTGTTAGTGTTAAAGGAGAATCTCTTGAAAGGTAGTGAGAGTTTGGTGATTCAGGTATGTATATTATTAAAAAAAAAAGGTAAACTTTTATCCACCCTCATATCATATGATGTCTGTCAAATGCTGGTAATGAAGCGTGACTCATGCCCAACTTATTCCTGTGTGCTTTTTGTGTTGATTTTTATGCTAAAGATTATAGGATGATGTATCTGATGAAGAAAGAATTGGAAGAAATTCCCATATTAACATCATTAGTAATGAAGGGTATGGTCTTCTTGGTTTTAATGCTTTGTATTTCAGGAAAGCTGACATCTTGAAAAAATATACTGCCTCCATCTTCAGGGTCAAAGAGTGAGCCAGGCAAGAAACCAGTAAGAAGCAGGCTTACTGGTTTCTTGTTTGGCTTACTTTTTAAATCTGAAGATGGAGATGTAATGTACCTCCAAATACCAGGTTTTGTCCAAACTGCATCGTGTTACAATTATGTGATGGCTGATGCGCATGCTCTAGTGAATAAGGCAAACACTAAGTTTCCTCAATCCAGATTAGTTCTGAGTACCACACTTAGGCGCAGAGGTGCGGATTGGAGCAGTAAACAGCAGATACGACTGGATAGCGAAGACACTGGGTATTACATTTGTAGATCTGAAGAGTTGGGTTGAGAATTGGGACTTTGGTAGGAATGGACTGCACATAAATTGAAGTGGAGCGAGAAAACTAGGCCAACTGTATTCTAGAGTTTGTGGCTTCGCCGGCAGAGAACAGAATTTGAAGGAATGACTGTTGCTGAGAGCTAACAGTGAGGGAATGCCTGAAAGGACATTAAAGACAATTACCCAAGAATATCTGATGCTAGTCTGGCAGGTGACAAGGAGGGAAGAAGTGAGGAGGAAGACAGAAAGCTGACAAGTGATGAATAGATAAACACAAGAGGGACACAGAGAATAGAGGGCAATTTGCTGGTTTTGCTGCAGGAAAAATTGCAGGAGTATCCTTAATAAATCTTTGGATATGTGGAGTTTAGTTCACACATATAATCCTGATGTTATAATATGTAAGGCGTCATGGCTTAGAGAGGAAATTGGCAGTGCTGAAGTATTTAGGGACGATTACACAATGTTCAGGAGACACAGGAATCCTCGAGGTGGTGGAATGTTCATTAGTGCAAAAAATTACATTGCTTGCTGGAATTATGAGTGGAAGAGGATTTCAAGATGATAGCAGTTGAAGTGACAGGCAGGGACCATAAATTTACATGGAAAATCATAGGCATTTACAGAGCTCCGAACGAGGACGTGCGAGTTATAGAAAGAGTGGCGGCCCAAACTGATTATTTAGGAAATTTTACAAAGCTCGTTGGAGGAGATTTAAATTTACCCTATGCCGATTGGAATGGTAATGTAGAATGCACTAGCAGAAGTCAGACATTTGTAAATAGACTGGTATGGGAAAATGGGTACACGCAGGTAGTAGTAGTCCCACCCAAGGTGACGCATTGCTGGATGTTTATTTAGTCCGGTGGGAAAGTTCGTTCACCTCTTGCGGCATACTACAGTGACCATTGTGGGGCATTATGAGAAGTAGAATGGGAAGAAAATTACTGTCGACCTCAGGTAGAGGGATTAGTCCCAGTGTAGCATAAAGCAAATGTTTTAGGGCTACAAACCTTCCTCCAGGATAAATTCACAATATGGACAAGCAATGGTAGATGCGTTGAGGAGGTATGGAATAATTTTAAGATTGTAATACTCAGAGAGTATCGAAAGATTTATTCCACATAAAATACTGAGAAAAATTTGGACCCTGAATACCACAGTAAGGAAGTGTCTACAGATGCTTTAGGGACTCTCTCCTCTAAATCAAGTTATTTTAGGAGAAGAATTAGGAAAGAAATAAGGCGAAGTGAAGGTGTGGGAAAAATCATCTGAAAATGCAGTGAAGTGAAGTGAAATGTGGGCGCATCATAACATGACATTACATATTCCATTACTNACAGTGCAGTGCAGTGCAGTGAAGTGAAGTAAAGCAAAGTAAGCTGGTATGAGGATGTGAAGGGTACGTAAGTGTAGTGAAGTGGAATGAAAAGGAGGTCATTGTGAAATGTGGGCGCATCATAACATGACATTACATATTCCATTACTGTTTAGTGTATAGCATACTCATTTTTTATTAATATTAATTTATTTAATTGTATTTGTATGTGTTGTAGTTCTAATCATATTTGCACTGTATTCAATTTGTGTAGTGTGTCCTTTATTGGTTGTGTAGTTTTGTGTTCTGAGTTTTGTTTGAGTGTGGTGTGTTACTTTGTGTGTTGTGTCTTACTGTAGTATCACTGCCACTAGGTGGAAACCCATTTGCAGTTTAAATAAAATATAATAAAGTAATAATAATAACAACTACAACAACAAGAACAACAACAATGTTGATGACAACAACAATAATAATAATATAAAGATCTTACTCTTCATAGTCACTGCTTTGAGAACCTCAAATAAAGCATTTCTAATATTATTCAGGAAGATCCATTGTTTATAATTTCTGGCATACTTTTTAAACAAGGAAAATTTCATGTTACTGCTGCTAATTATAGTGAATCATGCTGTCAACCTGAAATCATTTCATTGATAAGACTGAATGCAGTCTATAACATCAATTGAAGTGTCCTCCCTTCAGTGTAAAAGGACTAATGCTTGTGCTAACAAGTTTTTTGTACAAAATATTGATACCATATTCCATTTAGTTGTGTTATTTCACATGCCAAAGATTTTTCCACAGAAAAGAACTCTGGGAGAACAGCATTGTAACCTTTCAGTTATAAAATAAAAATGTGCTGGATTGTTAAAGTAACTGTTCTCTTTGCCTGGCCAGATTCTTCAAACACACAAACTTCATTTACAACTGGAGTAAGTGTTATGCCATCTCATGATGAGGGAAGCACAGATGGCTTGGATGTCAGTGAATTTGATCTTGCAACGTCTGCACAGCCACCACTACCACAGCCACCGAAGATATGTGAAAGTCCACAGCACATAAAACAAACTCTTGGTCCAGATTTTTCTGAGTCAGATGAGGAAGATATAGCAGGAATACACTTTCAGAGCTCACATTTTAATGGAGACAGTTCTGATGAGGAAGATAAAGCTTTCACTCAAGGTCTCATGTTTTCTGATATTAGCCATTCATCTCAAAATCCATCTTCAGTAAGAAAGACAAGTGAGTCAGCTCCAGCAGATGTTGGAGAAATGCTCACTTCATCTGTCATGCATGTTGTCTCGAAGAATATATCAAATCTAGGAGCTATGGGTCAAAGTTTACTATCTACAGTTATTGGCAGTGGAGCAAAACAGAGGGAACGAAGGAAACTGGAAGTACAGCAGCTCAATGAACAAACATCATCAGATGATAGTGAAGAAGATTTTGAAATGGTTTCACAAGATGATCTGTCATAATAAATAACATGCTTGTACCATAGCTGTGTGAGAACATGTTGTTTGATAAGAATAACATAGGAGAAGTAAACAAATTCGCATAGAATTAAATTTTCTGATGACCTAAGAAAAAAGAGCTCACTCACCTTAACTGCACAGAAAAGCTAAGGTGGAAACTTACAAAGATTTTATAAATGTATTTAAGATCTTATAATTTTGATCAAATTGTTGAAACTAGTTATGGCACCGAGGGGAGTAGCGTCATCTGACCATGATTAACACCAGTCTGTGATTACAGTGCTGTAGTTTCCCAGACCAAAGTCAGGGTAACTAAATTGAGACAATGTACCTTTCAGTTGTAATGTGTTATACCTTTATATTGTCCAGTTGAATTGAGATGCATGGGACTATGTGACTTTTAATTCTGTAGTCAAGGAAACAAAAATTTTTGTAGCGAATTAACAAATGTCTCTGATGTTCAGTCTTGCATGAAACACTTAAATTTTTTGTTTGCATCTTTTAAACTTATTTTAAAAACCACATTGTCCACTACATGTTTCGACCATCATTGACTGTCATCAGCTGTTTTGAAAACTGTTCTGTGGAGACTGCTGTGCTTGCATTTTTTCCTTCTAATGTAGAATGATGTGTAGCCCAAAAGTGTTTGCATGTCTCTGAAGTTCTTTCTCACATGCAAACACTTTTGGGCTGCACATTCTGCATTAGAAGGATGCAAACACTTTTGGGCTACACATCCTTCTAATGTAGAATGTGTAGCCCAAAAGTGTTTGCATGTGAGACAGAACTTCAGAGACATCTGTTAATTAATTAATAATGTGCAATAGGATGCTACAATACAATATTTGTAGTGAATTTTCGTGAAACTTTATGTATACGCCATTCAGCTATTTTAATTTAATTAACAGCTTATATTTTTTTAAACCAGGAACGTGCTGCTTTATGTATAACTTGATGAACAAAATTTTTAAGTGTATCTGGTTGATATCATCTTCTAAATGTTACTTGTAAATATAATTTAAATAACATTATTAGATACATGTTTCAGAATATGACAGTTTCATTGATGATTATATAAATATTCATAAATGAAGAATAGCCAGGTAGTGACAAGTTTTTTCAAATGTTATTCTTTTTAAGCGCAAATTTTTTATTATGCAGGAAATCCAAACATGACCCAACTTCAGCTTCATATAAAGTAGGTATTGTGACTTCTCCTATGGTAAATGATGAGTGTCTTCAAGTCAGCTTGTTGATAAAATACTGCAGCCTAGCCATATCATGTACATAATTAGGAAATAAGTTGAGGTGATCTGTTTTCCTGTAAGGTACAGTGTTTGTTTTGGCAATAGATTTCCCTCTAAAATATTGAACCTATTCTTATGTATCTGTGGGAACTCCCCATATTCAAACAAACGTTACAGTGACAACTCAGGTACCATTGCTTAGCAATGGTGAGTAAACAGCCATTGCTATGTATGGTCTACAACAGTATGCGACTATGGGAAGGACCCACGGACTGATGTGCGCCTTGGAAAATTGCCAGTGGTGCGGAGAACCTTGTTTTGCAGGGACTGCAATTTCACTAGATGGGTGTCTGCCGCAAAGTCCGAGCCAGGCAGGACTAGTACAAGTCATTACAGATCTAACGAGAGCTTTGTGGAGGGTTAATTTAATGTTAGTGCTCAATTGCTCACTTTTGATAAGGGAATATACTCTAATGAATGTTCTGAAGGCCTTGGCTTCAATCATTTCTTGGTGTAATCTTCATGTAACTCTCTTATCAAAGATTACACCTAGATATTTTGCACTGTTTACAAATGGAATATTTTATTCATTTAGAGTGAGACAAGACTCGGGCGTTCGATGACTACGGGAGAAGTAGACTCCCTGAGTCTTCATTAATTTTGATATTCCAGCGCTCACACCAGGTCTCCATTGAGCTGAGACCATGCTGGAGTTTTCCAACAGTAAAACCTTTCTTGCGATCTGTCGCATGCAAATAAAAGGTGTCTTCCGCAAAGAGGGCCCTGTGAACAGCATGTGTTTGGCGGGCATCATTTATGTACAAATTGAAAAGAGTAGTGGAAAGGACTGAACCTTGTGGCACCCCTGCTTGCATTTCACTTGGTGTTTACATTTAGCCTTCAACTGAAACCATGAATTAAGTTGAGAAAGAAAGGACCCAATAAGTTTGGTCAAACTGTTCAAGAATTCAAATTTTGATAACTTATACAGCAATCCTGAGTGCCACATGGTATCAAAGGCTTTTTCAGTGTCCAAGAACACCGCAGCCATAGACATTTTATTGTTGAAATTAAGGGTCACGTGGTCCGCCAGCCTCATACATTGCAATGTCATGCTGTGACGTGCACGAAAACCAAATTGGCTTGTGTTGAGCAGGCCCCTTTCTTCAATATGTTTTTGTAGTAATTTCAAAATTACTTTTTCGAATAGTTTTCCTGTCATGGACGGGAGGCTGATCGGACATAAATTTTGCAGGAATTTTGGCTCTGTGCCGGGTTTAGGTAAAGTTATTACTTTTGCTTTCTTCCAAGTACGTATTTTGAAAACGAGAGAGCCGAAGACAGTGATTAAATAAATGAGTTAGGTGAACCAATGGTCGTCTTGGAAGTTGCCACAGGCATTCATTTGGGATGCCGTCAATTCCACAGGCCTTTCTCAATTTCAAGGAATTTATCAATTTTTGTACATCATATGGTCTGATCCTGGTTCCTAGCACCAGCTGTTTACTCAGTCAATGCTAGGCAGCAAATGGTTTCTAGCTTGCGATTGGGTAGCACACGATTCACTGTGGGTGCTTCCCATGGTCAGATATTGTTGTAGACCGTACATAGCAACAACTGTTTACTCACCTTTGCTAAGCAATGGTACCTGAGCTGTCACTAACATTTGCTTGAATGTGGGCAGTTCCCACATATCCATTCTTGTATTGTTGGTTCAAGTTTTCCGTATTTGACCAGTTGTTAGGGTTACTGATAGTAAAATATTATTATAGTTAATGTTATACAAGCAAAAGTTCACCCAAAGTAAGTTTAAAAGTTTTTATATTTTGTAAGCTGATTTTTTACATCTGTGGTAGCCACTGTCTCCAGTGTCGAACCAAAGCACACATTGTATCTTGTATGTGTGAATAGTAGGGGGTTTTATGATTATTCTTTTGCTGTGATGGCCATTTCATTACTTTGAATATGAGTATGGAGATGACTGATGCATTTTACAGTGAGGGGATGAGACTAAATTATTCAGCTTGAAGATGTGTCTTTAAGACAATTCACACAGCTGCAATATGAAGAAGGTAAAAGAAGGTAATGCTATTCCCTTTAACAGGCTGTGAAGGTCCATAAGGTTGAGATGTTGAGGCTTCCACAGTTTCTAGACAGTTGGCGGAGACCACCCTTTACCCCCAAGAAGATTCCTGGTACTCATTTTTGTTAGAGGCTGAGTTGACTCCTTGGCCATAGTGTAGCTGGGAGGACTAGGTCAATTGAAAAATCCACTGACCTCGTCAGGAATTGAACTTTTGACTTTCGACCAACTATGCTACTGTGTGCCTCATGGAAAGTGTATTTGCACTTAAATATAATTTAGAAGATATGAAATCATCTTTTTCTTGCGTTCACCTGTAAGGTAAAGGTAAAGCAATCCATGTAACACGCTGTGAAGTCCCATAGTGTTATGAGACGTTGAAACACCAGTAAGACAACCTGGATGTATACAGCTGGGGGCTGTGTAAGTTGTTTGTGGGAGTTGCACTGATGACTTGCTTTGAAGTAGCCATGTGTGAGTAGCATCCAGTTNAAATCCCTGTAACACGCTGTGAAGGCCCATAGTGTTATGAGACGTTGAAACACCAGTAAGACAACTTGGATGTATACAGCTGGGGGCTGTGGGAGTTGCACCGATGACTTGCTTTGAAGTAGCCATGTGTGAGTAGCATCCAGTTTTGATTACTAATTCGTTTGGAAACAATGGCAGTTACCTTCATGAGATTTGAGATTTTCACAGCGGTGTCTGTGATGAGTTGGTATATTCTGATATGTGACACCATGTAGTCTGGTATAAGCTTGAGGAAACATGCTGCATCCTTCTTTAGCTTCAGAGAGTAAGCCATGTAAGTAAGCAGAAAGGAACTTCCTATTGTTTATACTTCCTGCTTGTTTTCTTTGTATACTCATTGACTCTGAAGATGTTAGCCATACATTTCTCTAAAATGTCTGTAAACTGCTGCCAGGCTACGTGGCCTCACGTCCTGTAAAACGGTAGCTTTCAACAAGCAGCTCGTTGGATGGCTGAAGTCCTGATTTTTTAATTTATGCCAACTTAGTAGAACTCACAATCAGCCCACCCAGATACAGAAGTTTATTTTTTCTTAATTTTCACATGCTTTGGAATTTGATGCCTTGACATTAATCCAAATTACTTGGTTTTCAGATTGTTAATTGAATCCATATTTGTGATGCTTTGTTATAATATTACCTGTAGCTCCAGAAATGTGCATGCCTGGTTGCTATGGGTGAGGTAAGAAACTGGTGAGTGCATGTTAATTTTGGTTTAAATGTATTGGAATTTAGTAAAGAGGTTGTATTATCATATGTAATGTGCAGAAGGACAATTTAAAAGCACATTATTTTCTTTCTTTGATCTTAATATCTAATGTTAGATTAAAAATATTTATGTGAAGTGTATTGCAAATTCAAGGATGAATAGATTTTGTTAAGTTGCTGATTTGTGGAAGTTATATTTCTAGAGCCCAGTATGTATGTAAAATGGTTATCTGATTATTAAATACAAAGTAGAAGCTTTAGACTAGTATATGATAGGTAACTGCAGTGTGTAAACCTATGGAAGTCTTGAACGAGTTTAAAAGTTATAGCTGTCATGGAAGTATTTTAGGATTGTTCTACATAACCCTTTGAAGTGTCAGGTGAATTCACCTCTGCATACTATATGCCATATCCATGTGATGAATGATCATAGGGAACAAAATAGTCCCTCACAAGTTGAGAAGCATGGTTGTCTTGTTCCAGAGGGAAGACAGACAGTAGGCATGGTCATTCTTTTGTGTGATTAACAATATCTACGGGAGGAGGGAGGTTGTGTAGTGGTAACATATGACTGGCAGAGTCAGGCTTGCTCATCATGTTGGTCACTTTCTGTTTCATGGATTTGAATGTTTTCCTGACAGTTTTTTTGCATTATTATCCTGGTCCATGTAGAGTGGTACTGTAGTCAAAGAAAGAATCAACATTAGTACTACCTGTGATTTATGGCAGCAACTGGTAGGAGTGCGGAATGCATACTTAAAGAGGTAGCTGCTAATCAGATGGAGTAAAGCTGTGTTGATCCTCTCATTGGCTCTGCTATATTGTGTGTTGCTGTCAGTCCAGTTTCTTCCAGACAAATTCTACATACATACTGTAGTAGAAGGGGCAGGGTTCATATAATTTCATTACATCCTATTATGTTAGGAGAATTAGAGGGCCAATTGAACGTCACATGAAACATTTCTGTGTCCAGGATAAGAGACAGAACGCTTAAAAGATAAGTATTTTTGCGTGGTTTTTGCCATCTCAGAGCATACATTCAAACTACATTCAACCCCAGTCTTTTTAAATATCAACCAGATTGGGTTGTGGCTCAGTTAGTGAAATATATCACATACATTTTAGATTCATAGGTAGCAGAAGTGATTAAGTTAGGTGCTATATGTCTGTTCTGTGAATGTTTCAAGTCAGTATTTCATCCCCTTTAAGTATTAAAGCTCTCAGAAGGCCAAAAATATGCATACAGGACTCCATGTTTTCTGTGATTTATTAAGTTTTTGTATGTTACAGCAGTTTATCACATGCAGCTGGTGTCAATGTCTGTACTTGGTGAACAGTTTGGTTTCAGTATTTTTATTGATATATTAGAGGTAATGAGGCCAGTCTCTGAATGTTGTCAGAAGTACATGGATGTAAAAGTGCCTGTGTACTGCTTGTAAATTGAAAGGTTGAAATACATCATAAATGCTTTTTTGCTTAAAATGTTATTCTGGAACACTGGCATAAGGTTGTAAAAGGGAAAGGTTTCTTAATTTTCTTCCTTTAATTACTGGAATGCATGCAGTTAGTTACAACCATTATTAAGAACAATAAGACTGTAGTGAGAACAACAGTTACTCATAAACAACTGAGTTCTCCTGGCTGTGGGAATAAAATATGAGGATCTGAAGTTCTTTATTGCTATTTCAGTGCAAGTGCATCAAAGAATTATGCCATTATGTGCAAACATAAGTTTCATTGGAATGGATACTGTAAGGTAAGTGACATATTTTATATTTGCATAAAAGTTTAGGTAACAAGCCAAATGAATACAAAAGGGTTAACATTTTGTAATGTCAGAATCAAATTACAAATTCAGTTTAATACAGTTTCTCGCTGTTTTCTGGCACTTTTAAAATCATAAGTATTTGAGATGTTTGGAGATCTGGAGGGCCACAGAGTAAGAATTGGCATTACCAATGGAAGTTAGTATAATTTTGACAATTTAAAATGTGTTCTCTAAGTGCCAAGTACCAAATAAGTTTAAAGAATTCTGTTATTTATTTGATTTTGACCATAAATTGCCATTTTGGATAGTGGTTTTTATCTCCTAATATGTATGTAATCTGTATTAGGGTAGATGGTTAAATTGAAAAGTAATAATGACTTTAATGAAAGAACTGTGAATTGTGAAATAGCAAGAGGTTATTTGCCCTCAGGGTGATGCTTTGTTA